TAGCTTTTTAGACAGAAATAGCTTAAATAAGCGAAAAGCTGATTATTTAGAAACTGTGGAAGGGATGATTTTGATTTCTGTTTTCTGATTATCAACTTTTAACTTACAATAAACTGCACTAACCACCACCACCAGTATAAAATGTTTATGAGTTTTTGTGATTGTATTTATGTATGACATTGTTATATATCTATACACGAGTATGCTTGAACTTTATTGCGGTCGTTTAATTTTCATTCCCCAGATTTTGGTAGAGTTTTGGGCTCTTGGTGTAACTAATTTTCGACCAAAAGGAGTGTTCATGCCTCATAATTTTCTTAAAATAAAGTATTGAATTATGGGTAAGTATAGATTTTTGAAATATATATATATATATATATTATTTGTGAATCTCTTAATATCATGCTGAGCCAAATAAATATTTTTTGTTTTATTTTATATGTTTTTTTTCTCTGTTTTGCACAATAACTGGGACATAGCACATATATTATCCGACACCTCTCTCTGGAAGGCAATTTTGGCAAGAGCCTCTTCTATCCCTTCCAACTACCAAAAAGTCTGTCAAATTCTTTCAAAAATTCCAAAACCAATCTGTATTCATCTTCTATTTAATTATGTACATTATATTAGGATTAGGGTTAGGATTGTTTTAGATATGATTTATAAATTGATTTTTTTTATTTATTATGAAAAGACGTGTAAAAAAATTAGAAAGATAAAGCAATAAAAAAAACTCAATAAGTCAATAATTTTTTTTTTTCTTGCACTACCCAGAAGAGGCCTAGTAATTAGCAAGATAATTTAAATTAGAGTATTTTGTACCTTCAAAATTTCAATAGTTTATATATACTCTCAAAATTATAAAGATTCGCGAAATTAAAGATTATTTGCACTGCAAGAAATTAAAGTTTTAGAGACAAAAATTTATAGACAAAATTACTTTTTAGGGACAAAATGTTTTTGTCGCAAAAAATGTTAATATTTTAGTTTTAGTGACAAAATTGGATATTTAGTGATGAACATGAATCACTAACCTTTTATGATAAAAAATTTTGTCTCAAAAAGCAAACCTTTTTAGGACCAAGTTCATTTGTCTCTAAAAGTGCGTTTATTATTGGTATTTCTAAAAATTTGTTCATAAAAGCTTATTTTTGAACTTTTCGAGACGATTTTTTAGCGACTATCTTCGCAACAACTGAAATTAGTGTCTAAATATTTTTTGCAACAAAATTTATACTTTTAGAAAGAAAAAATATGGTTTCTAAAACTCTTATATGTTGTAGTATTAACATTACAAAATAAAAAAATAAAAAAAAAGTTTCCAAAAAATTTTTTATTAAATATTGATCTATTCTATTTGTTATCTGTATTATTTATTATATTTCTATATTATTTAGAGTTAATTATATTATTCTATTTGTTCTTATTCTTGTTTGTTTCTGTTCATATGCCATTTATTATTTATTGCCTTTTATAAATCACACTTCAATTTGCTTATGCACCTTATTTGGCATTCATATTTTTTAATTTTTTTTTGGGTTCATTCTTTAGAAACACAAATATTGTCTACTTCTTTTTTGATCAGCAAAAAGAAACTTTATTGATAGAAAACATACAGAGTATGGAAAAGAACATCAATAAAGAGGAGGGTGCAACAAGCATCACAATGACATATCAAGATCCCAACCAGGTTGGCACCAAGATGGGCACCAAATCATTTGCTAGCACAAACTCCAAGCTCGAAATTAGTGAGTAACCAACAAACAGAGCAAACAAACAGGTAAAACTCAAAGCACCCTAAAAATTGCAACCTATAGGATCAAACTAGAGACAAATCAACCCTATCAACTATAATCACCACCTAGCAAAAAATAACAGCGGCAACTCAAGCATCAACATTAGCAAACTAGAAACAACCAACAACATCAGCACACTTCAACCTAGAAACAACTATCAACCAACACAACTAAAGCAGCAAAACAACAGAACAAAAACAGAACACCCGCAAAACAGAACTCACACAACAGTAAAAAGCAACAGTAACCAACACAAACAGCAGGAAAAATCAACAACACCTCCACCTTATCAACAGCAAAATCTTAAATGCTGAAAGAGCTTGTAAATAAAAAGAAAACACTAACACCACAAACACTCCCGGAGTAGCAGTGATTAAATATTGATCTATTCTATTTGTTATCTGTATTATTTATTATATTTCTATATTATTTAGAGTTAATTATATTCTTCTATTTGTTCTTATTCTTGTTTGTTTCTGTTCATATGCCATTTATTATTTATTGCCTTTTATAAATCACACTTCAATTTGCTTATGCACCTTATTTGGCATTCATATTTTTTAATTTTTTTTTGGGTTCATTCTTTAGAAACACAAATATTGTCTACTTCTTTTTTGATCAGCAAAAAGAAACTTTATTGATAGAAAACATACAGAGTATGGAAAAGAACATCAATAAAGAGGAGGGTGCAACAAGCATCACAATGACATATCAAGATCCCAACCAGGTTGGCACCAAGATGGGCACCAAATCATTTGCTAGCACAAACTCCAAGCTCGAAATTAGTGAGTAACCAACAAACAGAGCAAACAAACAGGTAAAACTCAAAGCACCCTAAAAATTGCAACCTATAGGATCAAACTAGAGACAAATCAACCCTATCAACTATAATCACCACCTAGCAAAAAATAACAGCAGCAACTCAAGCATCAACATTAGCAAACTAGAAACAACCAACAACATCAGCACACTTCAACCTAGAAACAACTATCAACCAACACAACTAAAGCAGCAAAACAACAGAATAAAAACAGAACACCCGCAGAATAGAACTCACACAGCAGTAAAAAGCAACAGCAACCAACACAAACAGCAGGAAAAATCAACAGCACCTCCACCTTATCAACAGCAAAATCTTAAATGCTGAAAAAGCTTGTAAATAAAAAGAAAACACTAACACCACAAACACTCCCGGAGTAGCAGTGGCAGCAAGGCTCCCAACCATTAACTAGCACAACCATCTTACATCAACCAAGTGGCAACCTTCTCCACCCAACACAAGCCTTGATCTGATGCAAATTAGTAACTATCTGCTGCACTGAGTAGTGCATCCCCTCAATATTCAATTTACTCCAAAGTGCTACCCTTACATTCACCAACTCTGCTAATTCATTCCACTCAACCGGTTTGCCACTAAAAAGACATTCATTCCTAGCTTTCCATAATGACCACATAACAACTAAAGGTATTACTTTCCACATTCTGAGGACTATCTTGCTGAATTTGACTCCTGACCACCAAAGCAATAAATCCTTAACTAAACCGGGTAAAACCCACACCAGACCCCACCATTGCATCATATCAGACCATACTTTCCAAACAAATGGACAAAACAACATAAGATGATGAACTGACTTCTCCTCTGATTTGCAAAACAGGCACAATGAATCTGAGTCCTCATTTAACACTCCTAAATTTTTTAGAACAGCTGCAGTTTTAAGCCTACCTCTCCAAACTAACCACCCACAGAATTTTACCTTGGATGGAGCAAAATTTTTCCATAATTCCTTAGTAACATTGAGATTCGGACCTTTTGAATACATCTACCACTTCCATGTTGCTGCTACTGTAAAAGATCCTTCTGGATTGGCCACCCACTGACATGAGTCCTCAGACTCCAAAGAAAGAGTAGGTGTTTCCCTGAGCAACTCATGCAATCTTAGTACCTCCTCTTCCTCTCATGCTAGCAATGGTCTTCTGAAAATTAAATTCCACTCATTTGGTTGACCCCTCCTCTGGTAAATCTGCTAAATAGTGTTACCTTTCTCCTCTAATAAGCTATACAATCTAGGAAACTCCTCCTTCCGATATAAATTATTCAACCACTTGTCCTCCCAAAGATGAATTCTATCCTCATTCCCTACTGATAGTTTAAGGTTTGATAGGTAAAATTCAACAGGAGCAGGTCTTTTATGAACAAGTTGAAGAATATCACTCCAAACCCTGGACATTGAAACATTAGTGGAATCCAACTGCCCCCAACCACACCATACTTACAACACACAATCTGTTTCCATAAAGCTCTGACCTCTAACCCAAACCTCCACCACCATTTGAGCAAAAGACAGTCATTGACTTCTGCAAGATTTCTAACCCCTAAACCCCCTTGCTCAATATCTGCTAATATCTCCCTCCAATTAACCATGTGAAGTTTCCTCTTTGTATCAGAATCACCTCACAGAAGTGCTGCCTGAATCCTCTCTAGTTGCTTAGCCACACCCACAGGTAATTTGAAAATTGATAGGAAATAGGATGGTAAGCTGGATATAACTGCTTTAATCAGTGTGAGTCTGCCAGCAAAAGAGAGCATTTTTCTTTTCCATGAAGCCAATTTCTTCTTTACTTTCTCAATCACTGGTTTACAAGTACTCTTGCTTCTTGGATTTGCTCCAAGAGGAATGCCCATATAAGTAATAGGAAGTTTTTGGCTGTGCTAGTGCAGAACTGAGATAAAATCATTAATAACCTCATCATTAACACCAACCCCACACATCATACTCTTATGGAAATTGATTTTTAACCCAGACATTGTAATAGCCCTCACCACTGTTTACTGATAAGCCATTGATTACTGTTAAACTGAGGCTAAATATGTTAATTGACTGACTGACTGAAAACTGAAGCCGAATTGATTGAGTATATTAGTTAAATTGCAACTCTATCTGTTTGCCTGCCAAATTATCTGTTCATGTCTTTGTGTTTAAACTGCTAATTGAAGGCCTTATCGGGATTCAAGTCTATGTTTGCATTCTTTCTTCAGTTATTTGTATTGTTTTCTTCTTTCTATGTATGGATGTTTGTATCATCACACGCAAGACGAGGTTGCATGTGAGGGAGGGTGTTGAATAGCTTAATATATATATATATATACATATATTTTGGCCCATTTCCTAACAACTTTAGTTTTTGGGACTAGTGGTGACTTAACAAATACTGCTCTCTAATCTCCTTCCTTCCTGTTTTAATCTTCTTTCATAAGCTTTTTCTGCGTAATTTGTTTATTTTTCTTCCAATTAGCTAGGTATGAATGTTGGCAATTAGTTTTGCATGAACAAGAAGTAAGGGAGAAACAAGTAAAAGTAAAAAGTATTTGAATTAGTAGACTATGACACCTTCCAGATGATGAAGCCCTTAAAGCTCTTATGGGTGCACGCTCTGGCTTTTGTAAAACCCGAAATGGTCGATTAAGGCCACTTCTGACACAGGTCACAATAAGTCTATTGATATAGCCTCCTGTTTTTTCACTCCCCTGCAACATCAAAGTATCATTGTATGTAACAGGGTATAAAAAGAAGTGATAATGAAACAAATTAAGCCATCAGAATTACTGAGAACCAATAATAAAAACAGCAACACGGGTAAGAATAGGATATATACATGGGAAAAAATATAGAAATATTAATTGGACTGAAATGATGTCTTAAACAGAATGACTTACCTGGGTATAGGAGAATGAAACAAGTCTAGAATTTCCAAGCCACCGTAGCCCCCGAACAGTACTATTATGAACAGAGAAACTCGCGGCAACAGCATTAGCAGAGACATCAATCACATCAATTGTACCATTTTGAGTTCCCAAAGCAACTAATGGAACAGCAACAGCAGGATAGTTTCCCCCACCTTCACATGCAAATTCTCATAGATAAACTGATGACTCCAGTATTTCTAACTCATAAATGTATCTTATTAAACATGGTACTCAACAGAGGGAAGAAAAAAATAACAGACAGACAACTCACGGGCCAAAGTAGCTGTTAAAGAAGGTGATGGTACAGCCAGCATAGTCACTGTAGAAGAAAGAAGATGAAGCTGTCCCACTAAGCAAGTGCTATTTTGATAAAAATGAATGATTGTCTCTTTTGAAAGTAATTGTGGCATCCTTTAGTGAAGTCCTTACCTGGGGGTAACAATACCATGGCTCTTTGTTATATGGCCCTCGCCCAGAGGAAACAATACTATGGCCCTTTGTTATATGTACACAGAGATCTTTGATGTTGACCCAAATGGTCCCTTTGCTTGACCTATATGCTCCCTTTGTTTGACCTATGTGGCCTTTTGTTGACCTTAATGGTCTCTCTGATATGCCTTCGGGCCTGAACTGCTATGCTAATGGATGTACCACATATGAATATAATAAATAAATAATTGATATACTGATTGAAATGATTATTTTCAATACTGTAAGGACATTCATTCTTAACCTCTTTACGCATTATGTTATTCACTGGGCTTTAGCTCACTGTTTATTTATATATATGTACGTGCACAGGCACCAGACCGGAGCTAGGAGCGTAGGTTAGACTCCCTTTTTGTCAAGCCAACCACTGTGCCTCACTGCGAGGTTCCGAGCCTGCCAAGTTATGGCTTAGGGGTGTTTTAATTTCCCCCGTCTGTCTCTGTATCTGTTTTGTAATA